AATTGCAGAAGGGGTTGTAAGTTCTTAATTTGCTTTTGTCTGTAAAGGAAGTTTTTATGCAAGATGAGCTTTTACCAACTACCAGTCATTGGGCTATACATAGGACTGTAGCATAACACTGCATTGCCTGTGAAGTACACGAGTGAGAGAGAGAAGATGTAGTGTCCCCTGGTCTTAAGATGTAAATGCAGTTTGACTCATAACAAGTTGATAGGAGAAATTCCTACTACTACCTGGGAGTACTAAAGAACTATTGTATCGTAACTATCCCTGCCATCACCTCGTGCAGCCATGCGGTCAGCTGGTGAATCCAGCTATCAGAGATGCTGATGTCCAAATGTCAGCAAAGCAGCCCCCACTGGCAAAACTGAGGCACTAGACGTTCAAGGTAGGCACCTGAAAACCTGAGCTGATGGAAGCTGTCTAGGCTTCTAGCATCCCTTCCATCTCCTCTAACCAGTGGATGCTCACAAAGGGGAGCAAGGATGCCTGCCTCCACCCACACCCCAGCACTCATTGGTTCTTATGTACCCATCAAGAGGAAGAAACCCAGGGACATAAGTCATGCAGAAGCATGTTATTACAGTTCAAATGTGCCTTCAAAGGCGATACTGTGGCATGGTGGGGCAGTTTTTAATGTCTTGCCTTCTTGGTCACCCTCAATGCAGTTGCTTGTAAGCTTACTTAGGATGGTTGTCAGTTACAGTCTAGCTAAGCATATTTTCATGCTGGTGGCTAACAAGTTGTCCAGGGATGAAACCCTGCCCACCCACTCCTCCAGCCCCTGGCCATGCTCTGCTCCAGCTGCTAAGTGCAAAACCACACTTTCTCCTCCTGCTTTCTCCCCACCCCTTTACATTAGGCAAGATTAACTGCCCAAATCTACATGCTATTACAATGCAAAGTAATTTTTAATGATTTTAATGACTGCTGCTGTACCCAGAAGCCGATCTGGATGCTGCAGAGCTGGGACAAGTGTGGGTTTGGTGTGCCGGTTCCACACTGGTCCCTTCATACAGGCGTTTGATCTTGGGTATCTGCCATCTGAGGGTGGCTTTGAAGGCAATTGCCGTTTCAGCCACTGCCAGTGTGCTTTCTCATTTGCAAACTAAGTTCTGCACAAAAGTTCCTTGAAGGAGAAATAACCAAAATGTTGCCAGCCTGGAAACTCCTGTCTGCTGCAGGTGTCGGTTGAATTTCCAGTTCTCTGTGAGCAGCTAGGGCTTTCGAGACTATTTTCCAGCAACTACAGCAACTAATTAAATAGCATCTATCATTTGGTGTCTTGGAAGATTTCATACCACCAGACAACAAACAGAGCTCAGGAGAACATGGAGCTCCCTCTCCATTTTGAGTAGGGCACAGACCCAATGCTCTGCCTGAGATTTTTTTTGGAAAGGACCAGTCAAAAAGCCCCAGTACAAAGGCAGGATGGGACCAAGAGCAGCTCAGGGGAGGGTTGCCCCAACTTTTCATGTTTTGGGCTCAAATCTGTGAGTTCTAGTTTGCAAATAAGGTTTCTGAGTTTTTGCATGTTATGGGACAGTCACTGCTTGCCTCTGGCTGTAGAGCTTGCTGTCCTCAATTTCTTCAGTTACATTTGTCTTCTAATATATTCCAGGGGGTTAGGGTTTTGCCCCACATCAAACTGACACAGCAGCCGCAGCATTCCTCAGAGAACACAGCTTTCATTCGCCGTCTGGCCAAAGTTATCATGGAAATTGTTAGTTTCCTTAAGCATTTATTGTAGTTGTCCCAAAATACAGGCTTACCCTGTTCTGATCTGAAAGACTGTGCTTGGAAAGGAGAAAATTCCGCATACTACCACAAACACCATGTTTGCAAGAAGTTGGTATGTTAATTAATAAAGTCTGGGAGCCACTGGCTTAGCATACTAATGAATTTGTCATGCAAAGATAGATGGAAAGATACATTTCGTTATTAGACTTTTGAATGTGTAATGCCTTTATTGTAATTATTTGTTGCATTTCCTGTCTTTCTTATGAACACACTGTTATTATTTCTAACACTATAGTAGAGTTAGACAATTGTTTCAGCAAAGGGAAGGAGAAATAATGAGATATAAGCCAGAGGAACATAGTCAAGACTCGAAATGAGAGGGACAGCCAGTGGGGTAGACCCTAGAGGAGATATCCTTTTGTAACTGAGGACCTGCAGAGAATGAGATCTAGTCAGCAGCAAAGAAGAGCCTTTTTCCCAAAGAGTTCTGAACACGAAGGTTGGGCTGAACTGACTGATAGGTGTGTGTAAATCTGAGAGGTCTGGCTGTAGGCACTATGGCTGCATGTTCTCACTAATGCCAGGAGAGAAGTTGCATTTCTTACAAGCTACAGTGAAAACAGTGAAGGTAACCCATCTCAGGAAGATCCAGCCCTCTCTGCACAGGGGGCTGATGGCCCTTTTTGAGGTGTCTCCACAGAGCAAGCCTTGGAGCAGCCGCCAGCCCAGCTCTGATCGAGACTGGTGAGACCAGAGTCACCCTCTTCCCCAAAGTGGGGGTGGCATTTTGTGCGGCTAAGCACATAAAGAAGCATCTGCCAGCTCTCAGACTCCAGTAGGGCCACTGATAACCCTAACCAGCAGGGCTGGTTGAATCAGTCCTTGGGTAGGAGCCAAGCTGTGGGTTGCAAGTTGGACCACAGAGCTTCAGAGATCAGAGAAGTTATTAGTCAAAGGGAAGCAAGGTAAAGGAAAGGAGAGGATTGCAGTGCCTTTGGCAAATAGCGCCTTAACTGAAACAGGACAGCCTTCACATGGCTGCATGCAGGGCCAGGCTGTTGGGGTTCCTGATGTATTTAAGCACATACTTTACATTACAACTGACTACTAGACATCCTTAGATGGGTCCATAGGGAGAAGCCTACATTGGTCAGGAATGGCACTGGGACAAGAGTTTCTGGAGATCAAATTTTTTTGTGACTGGATGTAGACTCAAGAATTCACCCTGCAAAACTCCCATAAGTAGTGACTGCCTAAAGCCACTTCCTCGCTTTCCTTGAGACTTCCTGCAAAAAAGTTAGGGAAAACAGCCTTATTCCTTCTTATACTGAAGTCTTTTGTCTTCTCTGCTTGCAGCAAAGGCATATAACCGGCTTTGTTCCTCTGCATCCATTTTGTTAGTCACAAGAATACAGTCCAAAATAATTATTCTTCATTTTGACACACAAATATACATAAAAGGCTTGGGATAAGAATAGAAATCTCTATAGGCTCCTTCTAGATGCATCAGGAAGAATAAGGAGCCAAATTCTGCCCTTCCTTGCTGCAGATGAATGCTGTTGCTCCCTAAAATGAATAAAATTGTTCTGCACTTGCACAATGTCAGATTAGAAGCTAAGAAATCAAAACCGAACCCTGTGAAGTCTAGTTTGGCAATGCTCACAGCAAGCCATAAAAACCTCTATAGTTACTCAGAAGTGGCTCTCTGTTCCAGAAAAAAAAAAAAAAAAAAAAAAAAAAAAAAGCAGTATTAAATCTGATCTGATAGCCCTGCAAGGTTAGGTGCCAGTGCCTCCATCTCATTGAGAAAACAGTAAATTCTTTCTAGTGGTGCTGTGCTACTATTTCCTGAGTCATAAGATGCTGGTCCTTAAAATCCTGGGTGATTCAAGCTTGCTTACAGAATCCTAACTGCTCTGGGTTTAGGAAAAGCTATACTAGGGGAGAACCTTATCCCAGTAAAAAAAGAGAAGACATTTCCCAAACCTAGCATCTGCTGGCATCTGTGAAGTAGTTTGATGCATTAGAGGTGGTCCCCTGGGAGAAGGAGTAGTTGCATGCTTCTATTTTTGCATGAAATCAGGCTCAGCAGAGGGCATGATGATGCACAAATATCAGCATGTCATGCTGTCTTTTTCTCAGACTTAAGGAGAGGCAAAGGACGGCAGTGACGAGAAGGATGAGTTTAGCTCTACATATTACCTACTGGGTGAGCAGGGGGTCTCATGTCACATGCTTTCTACAGACCAGCTGCTGCCAGCCAAGGGTATAACCCGTGCTGCTACTGCTCTTTGCAGAGAGAGAACTCTGCTTCCGCTAGCTGCTTGGCTGGATTTCATGCCTTTTATTATAGCCCAACATAGCACGACAACGCAGCTGATTCACTGCAGCATCACAGGGGTAAAACCACAACCACTTCATCTTGGTGAGCATAGCAGGAATACAAGAATGCAAACTCCCTCTCCACTCCCAGCCTGACTTTTGTGACTTCAAAGAGAAGGATATGCAATATTTTAAACGTTTACTCACAGACCCTCAGCCGCAGTGGTTGAACCTTTCGGTTATTTTAGGTAGGAACTTGTCTTCTAACCAGCCTGAAGCTATGTGCACCTGTAATCCTGACAATTTTTTCAAATAAATGTGCTCGAATCTGGTAATTTTCCTGATGGCTCACCTCCAAGAGAATGGTGTCAATCACCCAGTAGGTTTCAGGGCTGGGGCTGAGTCAGCTCTGACTCAGTCAGTAGCTCCAGCTTTGCCAGGCACTGGAGCTCTGCATTGGTGCAATCCATTGGGCTGTGGCCCCACAAAGGACACTGTTCCCCAAGTCTGCAGCAGCATAGTATGAGGGGGAAACCCACAGCCCTGCTCCAAAACCTTCTTGGCCCTGTAGTAAGGTGTGTAGATGGGGATGGGTGCTGGCTCCTTGCAGGGTGCAGAATCTGAGGACCCGTCTCACCCTCATCAGGATGCCCATCTGACCTGAATGTGGGCATTGCCATATGAAGGACTTCCTTCCTGGGAGCTGGAGGAAGCAAGGAAGTGGTTTTGTCCACAGACCTCTGTCCTGTCACAAATTCTCTGGCAAAATAGTTAATATTCCCATTTCTATGAACTAGGGTGGTGTCCCCATCCTCAGGCAGTCAAGAGCAAACCCAGTCTGGAAAGCAAAAGGCACCATATGTACTATGTAAAGCAGTGCGACTGACAGGTTCCTCTCTTTGTCTTTCTCCCTTTATCCTTGGTGGTGTGATTTGAAGCAACGCCCTGTGAAGCAATCCCTGAGTGCCTGCATGTGCAGAGAGTCACACTGGAAATGCCTCCTCCTCTCCATCCTCATGTATGGTTGCCTGGGAGCAGTGGCCTGGTGTCAGCTGGCCCGAGTCACCAAGCTCAGCTTCGACAGCTCCTTCAAGGGCAAGTCCATGATCTACCATGACAGTCCCTGCTCAGATGGCTATGTCTACATCCCACTGGCCTTCCTTTCCATGCTGTATGTGGTGTACTTGGTGGAGTGCTGGCACTGCCACGTCAAGAGAGAGCTGCAGTACAAGGCTGATGTGGACAGTGTCTATGAATGTATCAGCCGCATGCAGCAAGCCACTCCATGCATCTGGTGGAAGGCCATCAGCTACCACTTTGTACGGCGAACCCGGCAGGTAACACGGTACCGCAATGGTGATGCCTATACCACCACCCAAGTCTACCATGAGAGGGTCAACACTCATGTGGCCGAAGCTGAGTTTGACTACTCTCACTGTGGATACAAGGACATCTCCAAAGAGCTCCTGGGCCTGGAGAGCTACACAGCCACCAAGCTGAGGTTCACCAAATGCTTCAGCTTTGCCAACATCGAGTCTGAGAACTCTTACCTGACACAAAGGGCTCACTTCTTCACAGAAATAGAGGGGCTGGATGACTACATGGAGGTAAGGGAAGGCATGCAGCTCAAAAATGTGGACTTCAAAGAGCTCATGATGGCCTACGGGGACCCAGATCACCTCCCATGGTATGTGTCTCACTATGCTTTCTGGGTGGCAGCCATCCTGATGATCTCGTGGCCTCTCAGGGTACTCATAGAGTATCGGACTGCATACGTCCACTACCATGTGGAGAAGCTTCTGGGCCTGGAATACACAGCACCCGCCATGACGGAGGAGCCCCTCTACCGTTACCGCATGCCCCGGGATGCCACGCAGGACAGCACAGAGCTGGAGTGGCACATCTGCACCAACCGGCAGCTGATCCCCAGCTACTCGGAGGCCATGCTAATGGACCTGGCCGACTCCCCAGCGTACAACAGCTACACAGTGTGTCGGTACAGTGAGGTGGCCCACGGCTGTGAGCGCTGCAACCGTGCCTCCAGCACCTCCTCCATCTTCTCACGCCATGCTTTCCACAGCTGCAGTGGCAACTCCCGTCTGTCCCTCAACACCAGCCGCTTCTCCCTCTGCCGCGTCCATGGCTCCCACAGGACAGGCCTCTGGCGGAGCCGCAGCAGCAGCATTGCTGACCGGGGCTGCCATGATGAGCAATGCTGCTCCTACTCCAGCCAGCTGGCTGTCAATGAGAACCCCCCTACCTACCACGACGCCCGCTTCTTCCCTGTCTTGATCGTGCATAGGCCGGAAGGGCACGATGGACAGCCCTTCTATGTCAGACGCTCCTCCTGTTTAGAAACATCTCTGTGATGGGCTCTCATGCTTTCTCAGCTCTTCAGCTCTGGAACAGCTTCACTGCTGTGCTTGCAGAGACACCACCAGCCTGCAAGTGTCAGTCAGCAGGACGAGCTTTCAGTTCTTCTTCTTGGCATTGCATGAGGATATGGTCACCCTGCCAAGTGGCCCACCTCATTTCTAAAGCTTCTCTCCCTCCTCCTATTCATCTCCATGTTTATTTTTCCCCTTCTTTTCACTCTTTTACTCCTCACTGTTTCTTTGTTTCTTGAGTCTCTGCTTCTCCTCCTATCCCACTCTTTCTTTTACATTTCAGTCAGTATTTGAAAGCTGTTTCCATGAGAGGATTTAAAAAGCCTGTGTTTTGCAATGCATTTGCCCTGCAAGGTAGGAAACTCAAGCGACAGCAAGGCCAAGCAAGATACTGAAAGGCCTGCAGCCAGTCAGTGTCAAGTCAGAAAGAGAATTCAATTCTGCAGGCTCTAAGTCACCTGCTGCAAACCCCAAACAAGGCTTTTTAAAAAATTATTTCTGCCAGTCTTTTTGCCCCTTCTTTCATTTATTGTCTCTGTTTTTATACTTCCTCTTCTCTCCCTATTCTCATCTTCCTTCTTTGTTTTTGTTTCTCTGCTTTCCAATTTCTCATTGCACCTTTCTGGGGTTTTGTCAGTGAGGGTATGTTTCAGCCCATAATTGTCTTTTGTTGCCCCAAAACAAGGTATTTGCAGCACAGATTTCAGTGTCCACTGACACAGGAAATGTCCCTGAGAAGTGCTGAGGACATTCACCGCAGAGTAGTGATACACAAACAAAGCAAAAAGCATGCCTTTTGCTAACCATGCCCTGCCTGGTCTGCAGCAGATACTGCTGCATTTCCAGATGTAGTTAACCTCCTTCAGCTCCACCAGTGTTAGCAATCGTCAAGAGCCGTAATGTAGATCAGTGCCCTGCTAGTGCCACTATTTTTAAGACTGTAGATCTGGTTTGTGGTTATTTCATTCCTACCACTTGCTTGGAGCTGCAGGGACTGGCAAGGAGGAGAGACGTCAGGGAGGAAAAGGTGTTAATCCACTACAGCCCACTCACTGATGGTCTGAAGGCTTTTCCTGCAAGGCTCCCTGCGAGTGGGTGCAGAGCCTTCAGTAAGGTGTGAGATCAGCCTGGCATTGTCACCAACAGGAGGGGTGGCTGGTGCTTCCAAGAGCCAGGGACCAGCCCGGGGGCTTCTGGCCATGCTCAGGATCCCCAGGGCCTCAACAGGTGCTGAGCAAGCTCTGCAACATTTCATCACGTGGGTAGCTGAGGTGGGCACCAACTTGCAGGAGAACCCAACACAATCTCAATACAGTAACTACCCAAACCAAGGTGTTGTGCCTCCCTATGGTAGGTAGGTCAGAAGCTGATCCCTCAAAGGGACTAGCAACAAATGTTTCCTCCCGAGTCAGTTCTGTGTGTATCTGTGTAATAAGAGATTTGTAAAGTCTGATTAGTATGTGTAGATTATATGTAACTGCATATGGTGATTTCTTATGGCATTGACTGTTGCACTATGTTAAATACATTTTGTTTTGGTTTGATGACTGTTTTGATGCACTGTTTATTTCAACTCTGGAAGCAGAGACATTGCTTTCACATGGGCAGTACCTGGCTAACACACTGCGGAGGATGGCACCATCAGGAGGGTTGTTTAAATTTGTATGAGCCAATCTTTTTTAAAGTAAACACTGTATGTATGATTTATGTGACATTTTCATTCTGACAGCTTGGCATTTACTGTGAAAGATATGTAACACATAGGATGTGTTAGTTTGTCACCTCTAAAAAAGAATAACCATTCTAGACACGAGGAAGAAACCAGGTTTGGGCTTAGGATAATGATTATTGTTGGACTAGGGCCAAAATCCTGAAGTCGATAGAAGTCAAAACAAAATCAAAACTTAGACCCACCCCACAATGACCCAGTCCTGTTCCCTATTGATATCATGGCACTCCTGGCGGAGCTGAGAGCCTGGGATAAGGATAGGATCAGACCCGACCTCCAGGCTCAGATTTGTCTCTGGTTTACTGGAGTAAAGGCAAGCCTTGCATAGGTTTCCCTCCTCTTGTCTTCACACACACAGAAAGTTTAAACCAGCACATATGGAAGATCTGAAAGCTGGAGGAGGCTGAAGCCTCAAGAAATAGAGAGGCTGGAATATTTCAACACTGCTTCTGACTGAAGGAGGTGTTAGGGAAGAAGATGAGAAAGAAAGGAAGAGATGGTAGAATAACATAAATTAGAAGGGAACAGAGTTCAGATGCAGCTCAGATGAATGAGCAACAGAAATCAGTTACAGCAGGCTCAGGCACAGAGGCAGGTTGTGCAGCTGCTACATCTACCTGCAACTTTAAATACCATTCCCATGCCTTGCCATGGCCTGCTTAGTCTGATGTGTATTTCAGGACTGAGTGTTATATTTGGGTCCTCAGAAGTGGCCACATCAAACAGTGTTATTATCCGACATGAACAAGCTCTAGCAATCCCATTATTATGATGGACTGGGCAGAGAAAGGAGACAGTTTATGCCAAGTTTAACCTTTGCAATGTGCTCAAAAGCTGCTGCAATATCCAGAGCTCTTGGACTGTGTCCTTGTGAGAGGTTGAGAAGCCCAGAGGAATTTATTTCCTTACTGCTCATGGTCTAGCCCAGCTTTGGGGCACTTATTTGAGAACTATTCTCTAAGGTGTAAACAGCCCCATGTAGAGCTCCCTGCTGTTACACACCACGGCTGCTGGTAGAAGTGACTGGAAAGCTGGGAGCAGCTCCGGGCTGGCCTTGAACCAGCTGGCTTCAGCGAAGGGCCTGTGCAGGGAGCACCTGATTGGCCATCTCAGGGCTCCTGCTCACAGAGCATGGCTGCTCCTGATGCCCTCAGGAATCACACTGTTGTCACCCACTGCTGCAGCTCCAGATATGGTAGAACTGTTGCCACAGCAGAAGTAAGGAGAAGAGGAGGGCACGGAAGCCACCCGTGTGCCTCAGTGCTGTGTCCTTTGCCTTAATGCAGCACCACCATCACCGGTGTCATGACCTGCAGTACAAAGCCACACTGATTAATGCAGCAACACCAATGGCCAGGAGAGAGTATTTGTCTTCAATTCCTAAAAGCATTTTGGAATCACCAGTTTCTCAGATTCTGCACAGCAGTGCTGCACTCCTCTGTAAGTTTTCCCACAGCAGTTTGCACTCCAACTGGCAACGCGTGCCGGATCTTGGTCCAATTTCCATGCAGTTCTTCCTGTTGAAATAAAGCCCTTCTCAGACATTCTGAAGCCAGATCCCCCGCTACTGACAATTCCAATTGTTCCTCTGCTTCCAGCAAAGCGTGACTGCCTCCTACCAGCCCAGGGCGCACAGGAAGGCCTTCCCACTGCCATCTTACGACTCTGTCCCTCTGTCCCTTCCCCACCAGCCCCAGGAAGGCTCCTCATTGTGCCCAGTGCCCCAGTGCAGATTGCAGGGGCACAGAGAGTTGCAGGGCCACCAGTTAAGTGCTGTAGTTGCTGCTGCGGAGCTGAATGCTGCACCGTAATGACTGTGCTTCTTATGGCATCTTTCAACTGAGATTCTCACCATAATCCCTGTGAAAAGACAGTGCCAGATTTTGTTTCGTCAGTGACTTTCCCCACACTTTGCGGGTCACTTTGTGAGAGCCGAGATCTCCTCAGCCCTCCTCTTGCCCTCGCAGCAGCAGAAAGGAGGCTGAGGGTGCACATCCCTGCAGGAAGGACGGACGGAGCAGGGGTGCTGAGGTCTGCGGTCCGCACCAGAGACTTGGCTGAGGGGGGCTGAACCCCCATCATCCCCTCTGCCCGGCGAGGGCGGCTCCCGAGCCACGCTGCCCTCCGCTCCCACACGGAGGCCCCGAGGGAAGTGGCGTCCTCTCCCCGATGCCCCGTGCGCGCCAGCCCTTCGGTGGTGCTGCGGGAACGACCTCTCTCGGCCCCCCCAGGCCCCATGGCGCTGCCCGCCTCGGGCCGGGCTAGGAGAGGCCGGTGGCGGCGTCGGGGCGGTGATTTTCCGCTCCAGGGGCCGCTCATGTATATTTATTTATGCCGTGATGTCAGAGGGGGACCACGGCTCGCGATGACCGCCCGAAAGCGCCATTTCCTGGCGGAGAAGGCGGTGGCGGAGGGCCGGGCCCGGCCCCGGGGGAGGAGCCGCGCGGCCGCGCGCCGACAGGGGGAGAGTGCCCGGCACTGAGCGCCCAGCGGCGGAACCGTGCCGCGCCGCGCAGCACCGGGAGCGCCGCTGACCCGGCCGAAGCCGCCGCGGAACTTGGAGCGTTCCCGCAGCGTCGAAGGGCGGCCCGGCGGAGCCGAGGAGCCGGGGGAGGATGGTCGTGCTGGAGCGATGGAGCTGAGGCGGAGCATGGCGCTGCCGCGGCTCTTCTTGCTGGGACTGTGGGCTGCGGCGCTCCGGGACGGCGCCGTGGCGGCAGGTGAGGCGCTGACAGCCCGGCGGGGACACGGGGCCGACGCCGCCACAGGTGGCCGGGTCTTAACGTGCCCGCGAGGCCGGGCTGCGGTGAGCGGGAGCCGCGGTTGGCGGCGGGCTCGGAAAGCCTCGGGGGCCGGCGGAGGCATCGCCCCGGAGCTTGCCTCGCTCGGGTCTCTTCGGAGGAAAGCCGGGCGCGAGGCGTTCCCGGGCGGCTTTTGCTGGTGTTCTTTCTGAACTGCTTTCCCGAAGTTTCACCTCCGGGACCGCTCAGTGCCCGGCGGGCGGGAGCGGCGGCGCCGCGGCGGGACGGGACGGGCAGCGGCCAGCCGGAGCGGCGGGCACGGCGGGGCACGGGAAGCTGCCCGCAGCGCGCGCGGACAGCGGCCGTCTCCCCCTCGCTCCAGAAATAACTTCAGCAGACCGTGCTTCTGTTCCCAGCCATCAAAAGATTCAGCTGTCTCAAGAGTTTGTTTTTTAAAAAACTACCACAGGCAGATCCGCTGCCTTTGTGTTTGACAGCCGGTGTGTTCTTTT